TGCCTCTGTGTTGTGATGTCACACCTTTTGCCGACACTGGTTTTCCTCTCTTTCGGCTTTATTTGTGTGTTTTCACTGAAGCATTAAGGTGTGAAAATATCCAAACTCTTGGGATTCAAGGTTGCTGGCAGTAAACAGCAGCAGCATTAGCAGCATTAGCAATAGCAGCAGCAGCACAGTGGTGCATTAGTGTTAGAGTGTGATCTAAAACCCGGCCCCCGTGGCTCCCTGAAGCTTCATCACTTCTCAGCAGGTTGCATGTGGCTTCACATTGTAGTGGTTTTAACATGAAGAAATGTGTTCCACTTTCACAAGCTCATTAGTGTGTGTGTGTGTGTGTGTGTGTGTGTGTTTGTGTGTGTGTGTTTTCTACTTTGCCAGCCTACTGAGTTACATTTAGGTCATAATTTGTTGTTGTTTTTTTTTTAAATGGCAAATTAAATTAATAATGTAATTCATTTATATTTTTTTATTATATTATTATTTTTAATTCAATTATTTAAAAATGATTAATTAAATTAACTGCATTGATTAAATTTTTTTATGATTTTTGATCTGCTCTGCCTCCCAGCAATATCTCTGTGCCTCCAATGGGGCCCGCCCCCCACCTTGGGAACATCTGCATTAGACAATTATCACAAACCCCTCAGTGTGTGTCTGCATGTGTATGAGTGTGTGTTTTTTTTTTACTTTGACAGACTGATTGAGTCACATTGAAGTCATAACTTGTTGGTAAAATCTTTTAAAGATTCTACAATTATAAATCAGTGATTTTTTTCCCACTGTGCAACAAATGAGGAAAATGTTAAAAGTTAGTTTATTTAATTTCTTATTATTTTATGTGATTTAATTTTTTTTTTTAAATAATCAGATAAAATGCAAGTGCCTTTCTGTCCTCAAGGGGGGCCCGCCCCCCACCTTGGGAACCTGTGCATAAGACCACTGATATAAAAAACTCCTCTGTGCATGTGCGTGTGCAGAACTGTTGAGAACCATCAGCCTTCTCCCGTGTGAACATCACAACTACCAATTATGTGGAATCGACAGTGTTTAGTGTCGACAGTGTAACAGTAGACCGTCATTAGTCTGTCTTCAGATAATATGCAGGAACCAGAGAACATCAATGTGAGGCGGTGATGCGTGTACTTCCTGTCCTTTTGTCTCTCTCTCTCTCTCTCTCTCTCTCAGGGAGGTACAGATATTGTGGGCAGATTTAACCACTTCACCTGTGCCACGTGAATAAACTTGGTGAAAACCTCCGCCCTCAGCTGAGCCGTTGGTCGACTCAGCACCATCAGCTGGACCCACTGGGAGACGCCGTTACACAGCGCAATGGAACGCTCCATCACGGGGATGTCCTTCATGCAGCAGGTGCGAATATATTTCAGATAGTCTATGAACTGATGGAGGAAACAGAGAGGGAGGGGGGGGTGGGAGGAGGACAGGGGGAGGAGGGGGGGAGAAGCCTCAACCACTGCACGGAAACTGAAGTGTTTCCTTCAGTGAGGAAAGAAAAAAAACGAGATGTTTTTTTCCCCCCCCTTTCATGGAAGGCGTGTGACCAAAAAACAAAAATCCATCAGATTGATCAGAGCGTGACACACACACGTGGCGGTAGACTCACCGATATCCTGCAGAAAGATTTGAACTCCAGGTATGTCAGGTGTTCGGCCAGTTCTATCGGCTCCAGGTGGTCGAACAGAAGAGAGACTTTCCTCTTTTTGATGGCCGTGATCTTCTGACTGGCCTTCCACGACCAGTCTCGCTCATTTCTACGACACAAAGACACAGAGTTTCTCAGGGCGGACGTTAACGGAGACTTGAAACAATTTTGTTTTAATTCAGTCAATAGAAACAAAATAACGTGGAGCAGATAATTAGACGTAATGATTATTGTTTTTTGTTTTTAGTGAACAGGTGTTTAGTTAACCTAATCAGTTTAGAAAAGTGAAGCTGCAGACAGATATTCAGTTAGTAATTAATTTACAGATGAGAATTTAATTAAAAAACGGTTTGTTATTGGTTCCGTTTAAATGTGACAATTTAATGAGGTTAATCTAATTTAGAGGTAAGAAGACAACTACTGAGTGGTGTTATTTTTCAGACTGTTATAATATGGGCTGGGTGTTGATGGGTTATGGACCGTGGTTAATTACTAAACACAGCGATGAATAGATAAATATTACCGATGAACCATATGAAACTTCTGAACTTTTTTTCTTTCAATATTTGTATTTAAGTGTGTGGTCTCCACATACTTATTGTTGTCCTATCGTTGCTGAATGAAACTTCAACTCATCTCACCTCAATGACATCATATTTTGTCAGTAATAACTTACAAAGAACGAGCAGTTTTGAATTAATTGTAATTATAAATTAATCATTTTTTAAAAAAACAAAACATCTAATTACTTGTACTTTTAGAGTTACTTGTGTAACAGGATCACCACCAAATCTTACATTCAGTAGTTTTTATATATCCACCTTCTACACACACACACACACACACACACACACACGCACACAACACAGCTATGTGAAAGTAACACTATATAAAACAGTTACGTACTCATGGCTAAATGGAGGAACAAAACTCAACTTCATTTTTTCCACGTCTCTGATCATTTGACCAGTCGCTGTATTTCCTGTGTCTGGACCACACTCTAATTCTATGTGCATAACGCACACACACAGGAAGTTGTGTAAAAGCTGCATATATACTGTAGCTCAAGCTTCATCACACTCTAACATGGACTCATTGTATTCAGGCAGTGCCCCCCCCCCCTTCTGTAGCTGGGACTATTGTGGAGACCTCTTTGTGGACACATCGGTAGCTTTCGTTTCAAATCTCCACTGAGTTTTGCTTTTAAAAAGCCCCCCCCGTGCCCCTACAGCAGTTCTATAGCCCCTGATGGGCCTCAACCCCCACTTTGGGAACCAAAACATTGAATTTTTTTTCCAACCAGTCTTGCACACATACAGCTAGTATTGACCCTGTTATCTCTTGATGACTTTTTTTTTTATAATTTTATGAAATTTATTGATTCTTCACTGGGGAGGTGCCCAGCATATGGTTTCTCTGGGAATCAAACCCTGGACTCTCTGCTTGCAAGGCAGGCGTGCTAACCGCTACACCGGGGTGTCAAACTCCGTTTGGTTCCATATACAACCGCATTAGATGTCAAGCGGTCCGGACCAGTACAATCATAACATTATAACCTATAAATAATAACAATAACAAAAACTCTATCTTTTCATGCAAAAAATTAAATAAAGCTTCATATTAATGAAATATATATATAAAAATTGTACAAAACATTTTCTGAACACACACAAGTGTTTTTGGGGTTGTTTTTTTTTTTGAAAATTCATCCAGCGGGCCAGTTGTGGCCCCCGCACTGTATGTTTGACACCCCTGTGCTACACTATGAAACCATTTGTTGGAAAATACAGGACTGAGATTTGACCGACTGATAATAAAACAGGAATACCAACAAATATACTTATATTTATCTCCTGCTCAAAATAAAACTGGACACTAGGAGCGTTGCAGCCTCGACTTGGACTGTCGTAACGCTGAAGCTTCATTTTGTACTCGGACCAGATTTGAAGACTTGGTCGTGACAGACCACAGAAGTGCACGACTCA